AAGAGAGCAGGCATGGCTGGATGAGACATCACCAGTGCCATCAACAAAGAGGCCAGGGCACTGAGATTTCCAGTGATTTAGCATCCTGGCTGGGAGGGGTCATGTTTTCTATTGTGAGTTCTGAGTATCCTGCACTGCCCTCGAGGACCTACAGGGGGCGCGCAAAGCCAGCGTGTCTTAGGTAGCGGTGCGCATGCGCAGTCCGCGCCAGCAGCCAGCGTCTTCCCTGGGGGCGGAGCTTGTTTTCCTCAGGAGGGAGCTGGGGCAGCCATGGCGGCTCCAGGACCGCGCGGCCCGGGTGTCCGCTGGAGGAGGACGCTCCCCGCCTGCTGTCTGAGGTTATGCCGGTTTCCCGCGGCCTGAGCCCACTTCCTGTCGGGGTGTGTGTGGACCTGACGGAGCTGGGGCCCCGGCCGGGCAGGAGGGGACGGGTGCGCTGGCGGGCCCGCTTCGACTATTCTCCTCGCCCACCGGGAGCGGGTGAGTGTCCGTGTCCATCCGGGCCGCGGGGGTGTCCGAACCCCTAGTCCTCACCGCCCGCGTCCCCCCTCCCCCGCGTGATCGGAGGTGTGTACACCGCGGGTCAGGAGCGGGGATGCGAGTGTAATGGGAAAGGGGCTGAGAAAGTACTGAAAGAGTTAAAGAGAAGTGTGTAAAAGCACATTATGTTAACTTGTATATTTTAAGTTTGTCGAAGTCAGAGTTTATTATGCTTTTACTTTCCTGTCTTTAAAGGAATGCAATCATTTATTTTATACTTAAAATATGCTTCTCAGCTTATTTCGTTTTCAAGTCAAAATACTGCCACGGTTGGCATTTTCTCAAAATTTAGTGACAGTCTTAAATATGTGTAAATATAAACTCATTGAAAAAACCTTGCAGCATTCCAGGGTGAGTACTCTTGTTAAAAATAATATCCAGGAAACTACCAAATTATTACAAAAATATAATTAAAAATTTTTTGAATCACTTTCAGAAGTTCCAAACACAGTGGTATTTTAAAAACACCAACCACTGCATAGTGCTTAAGACCATTTAAGATGAAATATATTCAAACCTAAACCTTCAGAATACTGAAAAGGCAGGACAATGGCTGCTTTTTCATTGCAAATACATTTTCTATTCATAAGTGCAAAATACGAAGGTATTCAGCTTAATGTATATCTTTATTCAAAAGGTGACAGACTATAATCACCTTATTTTTTATTTTAAGACTATTTCTCATAAAAATTGATATTTTTATCTGTAGGATCTTAATTGTCCATTCGGTTATTCCTTTGGTTTATTTTCTTTAACAGAGACTGCATTCTTGTGTCTTGTTAGAGTTTTTAATTCTCCTAACCTATTCCAAGTGACTTTCTGACACTGATAGTAAATAAGGAAAGAGGCCTTATATTAACTGTGCATCTTTTCATGTAGTGAGGTTTTTTTTTTTGGATAACTTTTTTACAATTTCTACTTGGTTCACAATGTTATCCCATTATGATAACTCAATAAAAAATTGTAAGCTGTTTACACCAAGACACATGTC